CTCAAGAAATCTAGTGAGACCCTCGAGGTTATAAAAAAGAACCAACTAGAAATTAAGCAGATACTCACTGAAATAAAGGATATTATGCAGAGTTCCAACAGCAGACTAAAGGATCGCAAGAATCAAGTCAAAGATTTGAAATATGAAGAAGCAAAAAACACCCAACTGGAAAAACAAGATGAAAAAATAATCCAAAAATACGAAGATAGAGTAAGGAGCCTCTGGGAAAGCTTCAAGTGTACCAACATCCGAGTTATAGGGATGCCAGAAGAAGAAAGAGAGCAAGATATTGAAAACCTATTCAAAGAAATAATGACAGAAAACTTCCCCTACCTGGTGAAAGAAATAGACTTACAAGTCCAGGAAGCACAGAGAACTCCAAACAAAAGGAATTCAAAGAGGACCACACCAAGACACATCATAATTAAAATGCCAAGAGCAAAAGACAGAGAGAGAATCTTAAAAGCAGCAAGAGAAAGAAAATCAGTTACCTACAAGGGAAAATCCATACGACTGTCAGCTGATTTCTCAACAGAAACTTTGCAGGTCAGAAGGGAGTGGCAAGAAATATTCAAAGTGATGAATGCCAAGAACCTACAACCAAGATTACTTTATCCAGCAAAGCTATCATTCAGAATTGAAGGTCAGTTAAAGCTTCACAGATAAGGAAAAACCAAAGGAGTTCATCACCACCAAACCAGTATTATATGAAATGCTGAAAGGTAACCTTTAAGAAGAGGAAGAAGAAGAAAAAGGTAAAGATACAAATTATGAACAACAAATACACATCTATCAACAAGTGAATCAAAAAAATCAAGTGAATAAATCATCTGATGAACAGAATAAACTGGTGATTATAATAGAATCAGGGGCATAGAAAGGGAGTGGACTGACTATTCCTGCGGAGTGGGGGGGGGGGGAAGGGGTGTGGGGGATGCGGGAAGAGACTGGACAAAAATCGTGCACCTATGGATGAGGACAGTTGGGGGTGGGTGTTGAGGGCGGAGGTTGAGAACCGGGTGGAGGGGAGCTATGGGGGGAAAAAGAGGAACAACTGTAATAATCTGAACGATAAAGATTTAATTAAAGAAAAAAAATAAAGTTATTATTTAAGGTAAAAAAAAAATAATAATAATAATAAAAGGGTAATATGCAAATTATACCAGAAATCCTTCTGGACATTCTTCCAGATGAAGCCAGGGCCTGAGGGAAGCCAGCCCGGGTCCCAGATGCAGGAGGGAAGCTGGTGCCAGCAGCTGGTGGAAGTAAGGCCTATTCTTGCACAAATTTTCATGCATCGGGCGACAGACCAATACTAATAAATGGGTAATATGCTAATTAGACTGGATCAACCGGATATCTTTCGGTCATCCAGTCTTCCTTGCAGACAAAGCCACAGTGGTGAGGGACGAGGCAGATGTGGTTAGAAGTGATCAGACCAGCAGGTGAGCAGTTAGGCATGGTCAGGCCGGCAGGTAACAGTAGTTAGGGGCAATCAGGCAGGCAGGCAGAGTGGTTAGGGGCAATCAGGCAGGTGGGCAGGTGAGCAGTTAAGAGCCAGCAGTACTGGATTGCTAAAGGGATATCTGGCAGTCAGACATCCCTTGAGGGGACCCGGATTGAAGAGGGTGCAGGCAGGGCTGACGGACTCCCCTCCCATGAATGGATTTTGAAATCTGGACAGGCACATCCAGCTGCCAGAGGAACTATGAGGGGAGTTAGTGAAGAAACCCACAGAAGGCTGTTGCTGTAGAGCGCCACCTATGGCTGTAGGTCAACATGGCCAGTGGTGAGGGAGAGAGCTACTTTCCAAATAAGGAAGGATGAGGCCAGGCCTGAGCTCTTGCCTCTGAGTCCTCACTCACTGCATCTCACTGTTTGACTTCCCGAGAGTCATAGCTCTGCTTCATTCCATCTTCTTGTTCACACACAAATGTCTCCTTTGAACAAAGCTAACCCAGAACCATACAGAAAAGGGGCTTCTTGGAGACAATTCCTGTTTAGCTAATTTGACAAAAGCTCCCAGTTGGTTAATATTACTTATGTAAAAAAGTTAGTACTTTCATTCTTTCCAAGAGCTACTATTTTATCCGGTTTTAATAATAGTGGTATTTCCACACACTCAGAAATGCCATATAGGGAAGATAGGAGACAGAAAAGCTGCCATAATGAAGATCTTTTGCTAGTTTCAGGCTTCTAATTCATCAATCAAATAGAAGTTAAGATTACTTTGAGAAAATAATTTCTCTCCTTTCTGTTTTCTTTTTATGGGAGGAGTCCTGCAATTGTAGTTTTCTCACTTATTTTTCACAAGCTTAGTCCATGAGTATCTAATGGTACTTTCCTGTTAATATGGCAGGTGCCACAGATATTTCAGTAAATGAAATAATTTGAGGTGGGTCCTAGTAGTGTTTTACATCCATAATGATTTCATATGCTCAGTCAGTTGTTGAAATACCTTAAATTGTGTGCATTTGGGGTCAGTCTGGTTGTTAGAGTTACTAGGAAGCACAGATCAGCTTCCAGTCTCCTTGTTTGTATTAATGGCATTACTATTCCCTTAGGCACCTAGACTGGAAAACTTTTGTCATCTTTGACTTATTCCTGTCCACTTGTCAGACTCAGTAAATAATTTGTTTGTAAGTCTTTGAAAGGCCATTCATACCCATATTATACTCTTCATTTTTATTGCAACAAACCTAGTGAATATAATGCTTAATTAACTGTCTGTCCATCTGTCCATCCATCCATCCATCCATCCATCCATCCATCCATCCATCCATCCATTCATGCCTTGTGAATCTTATAACCTTCCTATTTAAAAAAAGATTTGAAAGACAATAAAGAGGAACATTGTAAACCTGGATTAAAAGGAAACAGAGTAGGCCTAAATCAATTGTTCTCACCTTTTGATGCATTAGGATCAATGGAGAGCTTTTGAAAAATACTGATACTCAGAACAACTCACAGAGATTTGGATTCCTATGGTCTAGAGCTCCCTCAGTTATTCTCATGTGCAGCCAGGTTGGGAACTGTGGAATTGAAAATGATGGAGTAGCTGTTACCGGCCACTTGATATGAGCTGATTACAACCTTAGAAACATGTGTATGGCTGCAAAGGCAAAAGGGGTATATGCTCTGTTAAACACATCTATTTGTCTGACAAAATATTTTCCCCCAGAGTTAAATTCAAAAAATAACACAGTTGTGTTCCAGTAATGCAATAATAGCTACCCTTTTCTAAATGGTTGCCATGTGCTAAGCATTATCAGTTAAAGGAATTGACTCTTTTAAGTCTCACCAGACACATATAATGTGAGCATATTATTTACCTAACTAGAGGCCCGGTGTACGAAGTTCATGCGGGGGGTGGGGATGCGGGGGGCTGTGTCCCTCAGCCCAGCCTGCACCCTCTCCAATCTGGGACATCCCTCTCACAGTCCTGGACTGCTGGCTTCCAACTGTTCGCCTGCCTGTCTGCCTGATTTCCCCTAACAGCTTCTGCCTGTCAGCCTGATCACCCCCTAACCCAGGGGTGGGCAAACTTTTTGACTCCAGGGCCACAATGGGTTCTTAAACTGGACCGGAGGGCAGGAACAAAAGCATGGATGGTGTGTTTGTGTGAATTAATACATGTTAACACTGCTGCTGGTGAAGGGGCGGAGGGGAGAGCAAGAGAACCCTCCGCTCTTTCGGCTCCGCGGGCCGGATAGAGCAGCTGAACGGGCCGGATCCCACCCGCAGGCTGTAGTTTGCCCATGGCTGCCCTAACCACTACCCTGCCAGCCTAATCAACACCTAACTGCTCCCCTGCTGGCCTGATTGCCCCCAACTGCCCTTCCCTGTAGGCCTGGTTACCCCTAACTGCCCTCCCCTGCAGGCTTGCTCACCCTTAACTGCCCTCCCCTGCCAGCCTGGTTGCCTCCAACTGCCCTCCCCTACCGACCATCTTGTGGCATTCATCTTTGGCCATATGGGGGCAGCCATCTTGTGTGTTGGAGTGATGATCAATTTGCATATTACTCTTTTATTAGATAGGATATTTCAGATGAGGACACAGGGATGTTGATAACTTAAGTAAATTTCCAGCTTTTGGATTCAGGCTGCCTAATAGCCAATGCCAGTGCTTGACTCTGTCATAGTTTACCCTGAGCAGTACTCAGAACAGCATCAAACACAATAAGATATTTAATAAGGGTTTTTGTATTGAGATAATGATCATCTCAGATTCAGAAATGTGTTTTTGTAATGCCAACATTGATAATAATACCTCATGGCAACTTGGTGTAATGAAGTTCAAAAGGTCTGAGTATGAATGCCAGCTCTGTCGTGTAGTAATTATGTGACCCTGAGCAGGACACTGGGAGCTAGTTTCCTCACTGTAAATGAAAGGTGGTCCTGGGGACCTCAGAGTTGTTGTGAGGACTAAGTCACACTCTAAACAGAAACTGTGCAGCATGGTAAATGGCTCCAATAAGCACTCAGTAAATACCTATTTCAGAAAATTAAAAATCTCTTATCATTTTTATTCTATTAGATTTCTACTTTTTACCATTATTTGAACCAAAAAGATAATTTTAAATTTTCTTTAAACTTCTTTGAGGTTTGATGTTTTTTGCTAGTGGAAAGTTGGTAGGCATCCTATTAACAAAGAATTGTTTTGTTTTCTTTTTTGGTAATTATCTAGATCTTTAAAAAAATAACAAAACAAGAGAAAACACTCTTAACTTTGGGTTGAAAATCAGAAGGGGGTGGGAAGGAGAGAGAGGAAGAAGGGAAGGTAGAGAGATTCCTTAGATTGCTGATGGAAACATTACCCACAAACCCTTGATTTAGAGCCCATGTTGAGGTCCTGGTGGTAGGGATGGCTCACTTAAGGGATCCCCTCCTGTTCCAGAGTTGCACTATGAGTCTCCATGGCAGAGCGTGCTCTCTGATCAACTGGACTTTGCTGCAGGATGGGTGTGGCTGAAAGCAGGCTACTGTGAATGAACCAGGAGTGAGAACATTAAGATCAAACTTTATTTCACACAGAAACAGAATGATAAAACAGCATTCTTCTCCATTGACATTCTATCCCATCTCCTTGCTCTTCCATTCAGGGCTGCTGACAGGTTGCTGGGGTTATTGTCCCAGGCATGGAGATTCTGCCCACTGGTCAAGAGGCTACACTCTCAGATGTTGGCTGTGCCCCTACCTCCCGAGGTCGGGCCTTGTACACGCAGGGTCTTAGTGGCTTCTGTAAGTATAGTAAAATTCTGTTAATATGGTGTTATCATTCAACAAGAGAAGAGTGAAGCAACCAGTTGTCAAGATGAGACTTGTTCCTGACATCATAGGTTCTTTATTGAAAAGTACAGATAATGTTTGAAATGGAATAAAAACTCAGAGGCTCAAATGCATCCAATAACTTGAAGTAGCAGTGGCACATGCCTCCACAAGCGACTGTAGCTGTTTAAAGCCCTGTCCTGTTTCACTAGCCAGAACACAGCAGTAATTATGAAATGCGTGCTTCCCTCACATTAGAAGCAATTAAACACCATCATATTGTTCTTTTTTTGTAAAAATCAGAGCTCTTCAATGCCCTAGCAAAAAGTGATTCGATGATAAGGTGTGGCTAGAGAGGCATTTCCTCATAAAATTTCTGAAGAAATATTCCATCACATCTTATGATGTTACTTGTCAATTATAAAAAAAGATTTCCTTTTATATCACTACTCCTGCTTTCCATTGTTATCATTAAACTCAGAGCTGCTGAAAAGTAAGGATTGCTCATTCTACCATCAGCAATAAACAAACAGAACACTCCTTTTTCAAAGCCTTGTTGCAAAGAGTAGCTAATGAGTAAATAGAATTGCAACCAATGGTTAGAGAACAAGTTTTTATTCCATTTCAAACACCCAATTCCCACCCCACCCTCTGCCCTCACTCCCCACCCATTGTCCTCATCCATAGGTGCACAATTTTTGTCCAGTCTCTTCCCGCATCTCCCACACCCCTTTCCCGCCCAAGAATAGTCAGTCCATTCCTTTTCTATGTCCCTGTCTTTCTTGTGGTCCCTCTTTGACCTCTGGTAGCTTTTATTATTATTTTTGCCCTACTAAGAAGTTCACATTCAGTTTCTTGACTTTCATTATTTTCACATGTGTTCGTGGACCAGGTGCCATGGTTTATTCGGAATGGCAAGAATCTTTGTATGACAGTCTATGACATCCATTTTAAGGTACAGATTTGTTATTAAAAAAGCAAATTGCAGTAGGCCACAAGGCACATTTGTTTGCCCATTTTCTGTGCTAGTTAAGAAAACTTGTGAGGTTCCTGGGCTACGCACCAAAAAAACAAACAAACAAACAACAACAAAAAAAGAAAGAAAATAAAACTCATTAGGAAGATTCAGAAAGGATTTAGAATCCTGCACACAGTTTTGTGTTGTCCATAGAAATTGATGGTGTCCCCATTGGGAGTTTCACCACTTCTCTCTAGGCTGTTTGAAGCTTCATGTTCTTTGGTGCATTATATCAGGATATTTGGACAATGGTGAAAGGGGATGATGAAGTGTTAAAGAAACACCCATGTCTGCATACATTAATAAAAAGCATCAGGGAGATTGAAATCATGAAATTCTTTGTTTCCACAGTTGGATTCATTCCATTAACTGGCTTCCAGGGGTGTCCAGGACACTTGGAGGAAGTTGATTCTGGGAAATCAGATATCAGGTTAAATGAAAGGCTACTGGGATCTATCTGGATTTCAGGGATCCAAGAATCATCATTCTCTGTGGGAGTTGGTGGTATATTAGTCATCATAGCTGCAATGAGATCTAAGTCCCAAAATTCAGGAAAGGCAACTGCTACACCTGACGGGGCTAGGGAGGGGAGGGATTTTGGCCTTTCTGTCTTCTCTGGTGTCTGTGCAGATGTAGTACTATCTTCAGAAGAACTTGTTCTCCAATCATTGTGCTTTCCATTCTGTTTTCTTTTATTTTTATGTTTTTCATGGCCATGACCATGCTCCTGTTTATGTCTATGGGCTAGATCATGTTCCCTTTGATGTCCATGGCCATGACCATGTCCCTTTTGGTGCCCATCGCTTTGGTCATGCTCATGTTTATGGCCATGGCCATGCCCATGTTTTATTTGCTTTTCATGGCCCCAGCCATGATAACGAGTGGGTCCTTGTTCTTTTTCTGAATCCTGATCTTCATCTTGAACAGGTGCCATGGAAAAGTGGGGTGGACTTACAGTTGTTCCTTCTTTTGTTTCTGCCACTTGTACTGACTAGAAAGGTGAAAGACCTGGAGGTCTTTTCAGCAATGTGGTCTAACCAGGAAATATTAAGATGAATGCATCACTGTGGAAACCACACTCTCAATTAAGAAAGAAGGGATTAAGACCTGTCAACGCCATCTTGGTTTAAAATGGAGCAAATCTTTAGCCAGGTTTTAAATGCTATGCTAATATTGCAGAAAGGATGAGAATGAATATCTTTTTCTCTTTGGATTGATTTTATAATTTGTGGATATTTCTTAAAAATTCTCCTCTAAACTGTAGAGGTTTTTCTTCATCTGGAAAAATTGGGTGGTTGAACTACATAACACCATGGCACGTTATTTATTAATTGATACTAATTCTATTAGCACAATTACAGTTTTTATACCAAAAGACCCAAAATGGCTTTATGGACTAAATATATATGCAGCATGTGCCCACAATTACTTTGTTGGGCTGAAACACATTAGGACATATTCACAAGCTTGAAAACCAGCCTTTGTATAATGTCTGTGTTAGAGTACATATATACCTATACAGGGCAAAAATCTAAATCAGAAAAAAAGAAAGACAAGAGGCTACTCGCATTGAAGATCTGAATGATTCTCACCTACATTTCAGCTACTGGTGAGAACAGGATGCTGGAGGCAGTGTTCAGTGATGCAAAGAGCATGGTCTTTGGAGTCAAATAAGCCAGAGCCTAGCTGTTAGCATCATGTGAACAGGGATGACTCTGATTTCACCTACACTTGCATCTGTGCACCACTAGCTTCACTTTTCTCATCTCTAAAATAGAAATAACAGCAGCACCTGCTTCATAGAGTTGTTAAGAGAAAAATATGTGTGAAGTCCTCAGTACAGTGCCTGGGACAGAGCAAGAACTTGATCATGTTACTATCCACTCCAGGATCTCAGTATCTTTGTAATTTTTAGTGTCTCATCCTTAACAATGGGAAAAGTTTTACAAGGTTTTCTTAAGAATTGGAAAAGATGATACAAACTAATGCTTCTCACACTTGAATGTGGGTATGAAACTCTGAGGACCACGCTAAAATGCAGATTTGGATTCAGTCGATGTGGAGTGGGGTCTGAGATCTGTATTTCTCCCAAGTCCCTTGAATGGAGGCAGATGACAGTGAAGCATCTCAGGCACATCTTAAAGCCCCAGAGCTAGTATTGGCTCTGCAAGGCAGGGGCTGCCCTTCATTAAGAGAGAACCTCCTGAAGGATGGGACACTGGCAAAGGGTGAGAAGTGATTAGGGGACTGACTGTTGCTTTCCTTTCTAGACATAAAAAAGAGAGTTCAGCACAGAAATGTGAGAGTTCTCTCCATTCTAAAAATATAGTTCCCCAATTCATTTAAATAGTGGTTCATTTTCAAATAGGACTTTTCAGAGCAAAATTTACCCAAGTTGACTAATTAGAAACATACCTTTCCCAGTGACTGACATTTGACAGTAGTCTCAATTCTATTCTTCCCACCTACCAGATAGTAAACCTCAGCAATGCATCTTAGAATTTCCTATCCGTGAAAACAAAAGCCAAAAGAGAGAACAGTGTTATTCATGAAATATTTAAACAAATATAAGATATCAAGTAGATTTCCAGGGAATAAGTAGAGAGTTGCATGACTACTCACCCCATGTTTATTGATCTCACAACTTTCGGTCAACTCTTTATTACTTTCCTTGGAACATGTGGTTTCCCTGGCCGTGAACTCAATAAGATATTTGTATCCACTCACTGTCTGGAAAATTAATTAGCACAAAGTAGGACCTTAATTAATCCTATATAGTAAAGAGTTAATATGAAAATTGACCACCATGCCCTCACACAAGATGGCCACCCTCATGTGGTCACAAGATGACTGGCAGGGGAGGGCAGTTGTGGGTGATCAGGCCAGCAGGGGAGGGCAGTTGGGTGCGACCGGGCTGGCAGAGGAGCAGTTAGGCATGGATCAGGCTGGCAGGGGAGTGGTTAGGGGGTGATCAGGCTGGCAGGCAGAAGCAGTTAGGGGCAATCAGGCAGGCGAGCGATTGGGAGCCAGCAGTTCTAGATTGTGAGAGGGATGTCTGACTGACAGGGATCGGGTCTAAACCGGCAGTAGGACATGCCCCGAGAGGTCTCAGGTTGGAGAGGGTGCAGGCTGGGTTGAGGGACACCCCCCTCCAGTGCATGAATTTTATGCACTGGGCCTCTAATATTATATAATAAATGATATGTTTCTACCCTAAGGAATCTTAGGGGAGAATATTAATTTTAATTATACCCTGCTCAAATGAGAGGTATACAAATAAAGTACAAATGTTTGAAATTAAATTTTTAGTTTGTATGCATGTGTAAAATATTTGGCTGTTAGGAAACAAGGCTACAATATTTATACTTTTCTGAGTTTTATTCTTCAACAACATTCAAGCACTCAAGTTGTAATGGAATCTGAGAAGAATAGGAAGAAAAACTTAATCATTTTCCTTAAGTATGCCTTATTGTCCTGCAAAGTCCTGAATCAGAGAAATACTGAGTTAGTGTCACTACAGAAATTGTGGGTTAAATTATGTGATTAGGAAAATTCTTTGGATTTTTTAGTTTGCCTTTCTTAAATATTTTATATTAAGAAACCATTTTAATCTCTATCAATGGTTTTTTTAAAATTGGTTTTTAGAGGGAGAGGAAGGAAGAGGGAGAGAGAAACATTGATCAGCTGCCTCCTGCATGCCCCTTACTGGGGATCAAGCTCACAACCTGGGCATGAGACCTTACTGGGAATGGAATCCACAAACTTTTGGTGCTCAGGGCATTCTTCAACCAACTGAGCCACACCGGCCAGTACTGTAGCAACAGTTTTAATCTTTATATATACAATGCTGTGTCCACAATGAATATTTTGTGGCCCAATTAATTTATTTTTTATATAAAAGAGGCACACTTTATTTGTTTAAAAAAATTAAACTCACACTTTTTAAAAATGCACTGACTTCAATAAAATTGCACATATGGCTTTTTAAAAGTCATTTCAAAATGCCATATCTTACATCTCTTACACTTAAAAAATATACTTGGTAAAAATGACTTTAAATTTTGTGTTCAAAAGTTAGTTGATTTTCTAGTCCAAGTTATTCAATACTTGATTCTAGGATCTAAATGTGTGTGTGTTTGTGTGTGTGTGTGTCTGTAAAAGAACACATAAATATATCTGTTGACCTGGAGAGATGAATATTATTTTTATAAATGAAGTTACAGCCCTGATTGGTGTGGCTCAGTTCATTGAGTATCATCACAGGCACCAGGGGTCCTGAGTTTGATTCTCAGTCAGGGCACACACCCAGGTTGCGGGTTTAATTCCAGGTGGGAAGGGGCGGGGCCTGAAGGAGACAGCGGATTGATGGTTCTCTTTTCTTCTCTCTTCTTCTCTCTCTAAAATCAATAAAACTGTATTAAGAAATAAAATAATGAAGTCACAGGGTGATAGTAGAATCTCGTTTGAAAAAGCAAACCACAACAGTCTTCCCTATCTCTGTGTTTTTGAAAAGCATGGAAAACGTGTGGTGGGAGGAAGAGAGCAGAACAGAGTCATAGGAAGAGCTAACCTCCCCTCTACTTTTTCTGGCATTGATCTGCTGGGTAAACATGGTTACATTTTTAAGAGAAATTTGATACTTAACTTTTAAGACTCCAGGTTAGGTGTAAATGGGGAGGAAGGTTCTTAGAGGGTTTGGGGGTCTATATTTTGCTGATCATAAGTTTTCTTGCTCATTTCAGAATATATCTTAATCCAATTTTCCATAACAATAATGTTGATCAAAGTAATGTTGCCCAAGAAACTGGACAATATGTGACACAAACCACAACTAATGGCTCAACTCTATTCAGGATCAAGAAGAAGGAAATAAATAGATGTAAATCTTCCATTTGAGGGCCTCGAGATAGCATCTATATTGCCGTTATTATCTGGTGTCATTCTTATCAAAAGTCTTTCCTGCTCAAACCCATCTTGCTCAACCTTTGTTATTAAGATAGAGATAACCACAGAGCAAAATAAATTCCAAATGTATTAACAGTTTAAATTAAAGAAATAAGCTCAAAAGCTATAAATATGTACCCATCAGGTCTCAAGAGGAAGAAGTCTGTTTTTAGGTGAAAAGCAGAGGGGGAAAACATGTCTAAATTTGTTCAGACAGAGAGGACAACTAATTCTCAAACATCACAGCAAGCAAAGTAAAAAAATAAAACCTGGGGAAAATATGGTATAAGATTAATATTCTTATACATGTAAAGCCCACCATGAAAAAAATGAACAAAAGACATGAACAAATATTTCAGAAAAGAAGTTAAAATGGCCAGTAAGCCAGAAACAAATGACTATCTTCATTAATAACCAAAGACCAAAAAAACAACAACAATGCAACAGCATTGTTAATCTTCCATATGTTGGCAAAGATGAAAAACAGAGGTGATGCCTGCTATTGGCCATGTGTGGGAAGCACACAGCCTCAGTCACTGTTGGTAGGAATAGAACTCAAAGCAAGATGATCAAGGTCCTATGGCCAGGTGGTCTGAGTGTAAATTGGCATAATTGCAAACAGTTTGTCAATTTGGCAATTTGCATCGGAAGTCTTAGACATACTCTACATACGCCTTGACATTTCTAATACTTTGTTAAAAGAAAAATTCCTGAAGGTGCACACAAAGATCCTTGAAGTATATTTATCTGAGCAAAGACAGGGAGGAATATGGACAAGAGTGGGGACAGTGGCGGCAGAGGCAGGGCAGAATAAATGCCCCATGACAGAAATCACAATATTCACATGTGCAAACGGAGAATTTAAGAAACATTTGGCATCTGAAACCATCTTAAAATGGACATGCATCGAAATAGGACTAAATATGCAAACCCAAGGCAAGACCTAACCTGTAAAATAAATCTTTGGCAAAAATTGGTCATTTGGCGAATTGATTACATGGTAAATGGATTTCCAGTAACTTGGCTGCTTCCAGCAGGGCTTCCTTGAATAATCATGTCAGAGCAGCCAAATTGTTCTCTTTAAATGTAAAAACCAGTAAAAGATTCATCTTTTGTAAGTAAGTTTGAGATTCTCACCATATTTCAAATTGACTTGGCAAGTGAAGGAATGTCAGTTCCTTACAATTAACAGCATTACCTGTTATTCCCTGGGCATCCTTAGCATAAACAAATACACTCCGTGCTTGTATGTTGATTCATTAACTTACAGAGAACTGTATGTATATGGAGACTAGATAGTCATGTAAAAAATTAGTGTTTCTCTCCTGACAACAAACCTCTGATATGCAATCTATGGTGGAATAGAGGGTATTCCTGCATCAAGAATAAGGGAGATTCACAAGAAAGCAGAAATATGAAGTGAGAAGAAAAGCTGACAAACTAAATAGTATTGGGGGATGTGGGTGGGTAAGAGAGCAACCAAAGGACTTGTATCCATGCCTATAAACATAACCCATGGACACAGACACTAGGGGGGTGAGCACATGTGCTGGGGGTTTGAGAGGCCTGAGAGTGGTTAATAGGGCAAAAAGGAAACATATGTACTACTTTAGACAATAAAGAATTTAAATTAAAAAAAAGAATATGCCCTAACCGGTTTGGCTCAGTGGATAGAGCGTTGGCCTGCGGACTCAAGGGTCGCACGTTCGATTCCGGTCAAGGGCATGTACCTTGGTTGCGGGCACATCCCCAGTAGGGAGTGTGCAGGAGGCAGCTGATCGATGTTTCTCTCTCATTGATGTTTCTAACTCTCTATCCCTCTCCCTTCCTCTCTGTAAGAAATCAATAAAATATATTTAAAAAAAAGAATACAATGATTGGTGTACCATGTGAGTACACCACTAACATGGGTCATGTGCCCATGAAATGAGGGAGAAAGGTTGTAGTGTCAGGGGCAGGAATAAGTGCCTGAGTAGGAGAGAGAGCAAAGTGTCAGTTTTGACTTGCTTTAATAACATTTGGTTAGGTTTCCCCTGCAGTAGTGAAACTAATACAGGAAATTAGAAGATGACAATAAACAGCCCATTGTGCCATCACCTAAAGCCACCACTGTGAATAGTTGGAGGCATTTGTTTCCTTTCTAATTGTTTTCTGTACTTTTTATAACACACCTGGCAACAGAATGTATAGTCAATTTTATGGTCTCTTTTTCCCCCACTGAATATTTTATCACAAGGCATTTCCCACATCAAGAACTCCTCACAAAGATGCTTTAAAATTGCTTCTTGGTACTCTGTTTTGAGAATATGCCAGACAGTATTTGATCATTTCTATATTATTCATCAGTTTTGACAGTTTACCATGTTGTCTTTTATAGTTAAAGCTGCAATGAGTATCATTGTCTATAAAGACTCTATTTTAAATTTCTAGAAATTCAATTACTGAGCAAAAAGTATGAATTGTTATAATTGAAGTACCCCTCCACCCATCAGATTATGTTGTTTTGCTGAAACAGGTTCTATTTTGATTACTTTTGTTGGTTCTATTTTGTTCACATTTAGGAAGGCCAGTTTTGAGGTTTAGAATAAGAATCTGCCTATGAATAGATTACTCAGATGCTGTTAGAGATGGAATAAATTTTTGCTCTTCTCACCCAGCCATTCATTTTACAGATGGGGCACAAGACTGAGTGAGTCTGAATGACAGTCCGGGATTACCCAGGGCATGAGGGCGGAGGTTCTGGTAGAACTGTGTCTTCTGACCCCCAGACTAGGATGCTCCTTATCTATTGACAGGGCATGGAAGAAAAGATGAAGCCCTAGATGTACATTTGTGGGCTGGAAGGACACATAGGCAGGGGGGAAGTGACCTGGAGGTGAGAGTGTGAAGAGAGTCTGGGTGATGATAGACTGACATGTGGCTGATCCCAAGGCACTAAGTGATGCTCCAACAAGAATCGACTCTAAAAGGCAGAGAATAAGTGTAGCTTTTCCTTTCCCTACATTTTATTAATTATATAAATTTGCTAGAATTTATAAAACACTTTAAAATTTGAAAAGATAATGTATTGACATATATTATCTCTTCTTTTGTTCCATTTATTTATGCATTCACTGGTAGCTTCTTGTATGTGTCCTGATCGGGGATCAAACCTGCAACCTTGGCATATTGGGACAATGCTCTACCCAACTGAGCTACCCCGCCAATGCTTGACATATATTATCTTATTTGAGTCTCACCCCAGTCCGTTACACACAGAAAATGGAATGTTCTAAATGACTTGTTCAAGACCACATAGCAAGCATGTAGTGAGGTTGAGACTTGACATTCAATTCTTTTTACCAGGTATACTATTTCCCAACCCAAGATCAGCGGCAATATTAGTAAGCAGTTCGCACATAGACTATAATATCACTATTTTTGTAGCTTAATTTACATACCTGTGATGTTGCTCTGTGCACAATGTCAATCTTGAACAAGAACATTGAATTAATCTGTGCATTAAGTTTTGTAATGGAATGATTCAGAGCCTCGTTCAGATCAGGGCTGTCGACAAGTATCTCGTCGGGGCAGCCAAGGCAACCTATGGCAAAACCTGAAAGAAGCAGGTTTTAAGTCAGTGTATGTACTGAAGGAGCAGTCCAGACTAGTACCTCTCCTGCACATTGTCTAGCACTCATTTATATGGGGCCATGTGCAGCCTAAGGCCAGTAGTGAGTGGGTAGAGGCTGTCTGTGTGACCTTCACCTTACTGCCTGCCCTCTTTTCCTCTCCTCAGTCAAGGGCATTTAGGGAAGCCTTCCATCAGAAGGTGTTAGTTAGTGCACCTTCAATATCAATGTGCTGCACTGTTCCTAGATTTTTGCATTTTGGAAAGAGTGTAAAAAAGCAATGCTTTATTTAAAGGAATGATTCTCTAGTGGGAAAGTTTTAAGTCCTCTGATTCTGGTAAGCAGGGAGCTTCAATGATGCTTATCACTGTGGAATGTATGCAAATATATTCCAAGTATGAGAAAAGCCAACTCTTGGTATAAGAAACACTGATTTTACCATAAACTTGCACTATCTCACTTTCTCCCCATTATAACATGCAGGAGAAAAAAGTGTTTAATTGAAAGGATTTTATTCTGAGTGATTAAATAGGCGATTCAGCTTCCCCAATTTATAACACCTGATGTAGTGACATCTTATACACAAGGAAGACCAGGTGACTTTGCATCTAGAGATCAGGTTTGCCCAAAGAACATAAATCTTTTCTGTCCACTTGCAGAGCAGTCCCAGCTGCATCAGCTATAACACAGCTGTGCAGAAATAGGGTACAGCTGTAAGGTTGTTGATTATATAATAGGACCTAAAGCACAATTTCTATAAAAACACCTAGCCAGTTGTCTGGGATCAACATGTACTACTAGAGGACAAACATGTATTATTGCATACCTGATAAAATCTTACACTTCTGTGAGAAGGAAGCAATTATTAGCTGAGGATCCACGTATGCATGATCTTTACATTCAAAGGTATCCTAGTTTTTTTCAAAAGGAAATAAGTTAAAAACGTTCTTAAGAACCTTTAAAGTAAACAATTAGTAATATTAAATATAGGATGTTGACTTCACATAGAATACAAAACAAAACATAATTCCATTGCCAAAGAGAGAATAAGAAACTATTCGGTATCAGCATTAACAACAATAAATGTATTTACACAAACACATGAAATAAGATGACAAGAATACCTAGTATAGAAATAATAATCATATAGCCCAGGAAGCATGGCTCAATGGTTTAGCATCAACCTATGGACCAGGAGGTCATGGTTTGATTCCCAGTCAGGGCATATGCCCAGGTTGCATGCTTGATCCTTAGTGTGGGTGTGCAAGAGGCAGCTGATCAATGGTTCTCTCACTCATTGATGTTTCTATCTCTTTTCCCCTTCCCTTCCTCTCTGAAATTGATAAAAATATATTTAACAAATAAGATATTTGAATGGGTAAAATTTCTTTTAGAAGGACAACGAATTCCAGATCAGTCCATGTGACTCAGTGGTTGAGCATCCACACAGGAACCAAGAGATCACATTTAGATTCCTGGTCAGGGCACATGCCTGGGTTGCGGGCTGGATGCCCAGAGTGGGGTGTGCAAGAGGCAGTTGATTATGTTCCTCTCTCATTGATATTCTATCTCTCTATCACTCTTCCATCCTCTCTTTCTAAAAAGCAATAAAAACATATTTAAAAAGAGAAAGGCAAAGACTTCCATATTAAGTTAAAAACAAAATTAATGTATTACATTTCAAGTATAATATCTTGTAATATAAAAGATAAAGGTAGATTAAACATAATGGATGATCAAAATTATATGAAGCGTCCTAACTGGTTTTGCTCAGTGGATAGAGTGTCAGCCTGCAGACTGAAAGGTCCCAGGTTCAATTCAGGTCAAGGGCATGTACTTTGGTTGCGGGCACATCTCCAGTAAGGGGTGTGCAGGAGGCAGCTGATTGATGTTTCTCTCTCATTGATTTTTCTAACTCTCTATCCCTGTCTCTTCCTCTCTGTAAAAAATCAATAAAATATATTAAAAAAAACTATATGAAGCAAATATGAACAGAAAAAGGATCTAGAGTATTATTAATATTGGACAAAGAAAACTTCAAGGTAACAAAAGAAACTCATGATGGTAGTAAAGAAGATAATTTTATTTTTATAAAGATATACTCTAGATGCATGGAGTGAAAATACATGAAAGAGAAATTAGATATATATGTATAGAAATAGATTAAAATAATGGCGGTGTAGAAATTTTATGTACAACCTTAAATTTAAGATAGGTCAAATGGATTTAAAAATAAATAAAATAATAGAAAATGAATAAAATAATAAAAAAGTATTTAGGTGGTATTTTCATATGATCTATATGACTTAAATGATATTTTTATAAGTATGGCACAGATATTTTTAAGTACTTTTATATTAGGTTACACGAAAGGCTCAATAAATTTCTAAAATGAAACAATAGTGGCATGTCCTTTGACCTCAGCACCAAAAGAAAAGAATTCCTAAAAATACTTTTAAACAAATAAACAAGAAACTAACTACTTGGACATCTAAACACATTTACCTAAATAGTCAGAGTCTTCTTTGGATAAGGAAAAATATAAGAAACAAAATAAGAAAACTGAGAATTTTATATAATGTTGACAGAGCAGCATTTGGAATTAAACTCATGGCTTTATATACTTTCGTAATTTAAAAAGAGAGAGGCAAGAAACAAACAAAACAACATCAAACCGAGGTGTTTACATCAGGAAGTTAGAAAAAGGAAAAGAATAATAAATAGCCTTAAGCAAAAGAGAAAAGGAGGAAAAAATAAAGCAAAACTGATGAACTAGAAAACAGAAAGCACTAGCATTAGTAACTGAATCCAAATGCTCATTCTTGGGATAAGGAAAAAATCAAATGCAAAAAAATAAAAAAGGCATTATAGCAAAGGAACAAAGAAGCTAAAAATATAAGAGAATAATTATGAACAAGTGTGTGCTACTTTAAATCCCAAAGAAATGAATACTTTTCTGGAAAACTATAAATAACCAACGCTGACTTAAACACAAGAACAAATTTGAATGAACCAATAACTGAAGAACAGAGAATGCTATCATTACTCTCAACTTCCATTCCATTTCTCACCTCCAGACAACATAGATGTTTTATAGATGAATAATTTTTGTAATTGAGAAACATTTACTTCCTTCCTATGTAAACTGTTTCTGAATATAGGAAATAGTGGCAAGCTACCCAAGCCAAAAAATAGTGGCTAACCACCTAACTAAAAAATAGAAGGCAGTAGGGAAAGCAGAGGAGCAAATATGACATGGACTGACTCCATAAAAGAAGCCATAGAAATGAGTCTATAGGTGCTCAGCAGAGCTGTTGAGGTCAAGACAGTGTGGCCATCACTCATTCACAGGGTCACTAGGAATCAGAGCTGACTCAACTGCATGTAACACATACCCGACTCATTCTAGAAAACTATAATCTGGATACCAAACCTGAAAAAAATAGAATGCACACACAACCACACCCAGAAATCTGTCAAACCACTTTAACTTAGGAATAAAGATGTAGACTTCTTGAGCTAAAAATAAAATCCAAATGCATATTTAAAGAATAATTAACACTAAGCAAAGAGAATTTATGAACCTAGAGGTAACTATTAGGAAAGTTGTCAAAACAACATAACAGATTAAATTAGAAATGCATAATATGATGTTTCAATACATATTTAAAGCATTTGCTAAATTCTTACACAAAATTCTCTTTTTTCTTAAAAATATTTGTTGGGGTGACATTGGTTAATTAAATAGATTTCAAGTGTACAATACTATAATACACCATCTGTATTGTATACATATTGTATTGAGTGTTTACTACCCAAAGTCAAGTCTCCTTCTGTCATCACTTATCCTCCCTTAATATTCTTCTATTTTCCCCCACCCCTCTTTTCTCCGGTAATCAGTGTCTGTGAGTTTTTTGGTTTTTTTTTTTTGCTTAATTCTTTCATCTTTCTCACCTAACCCCACAACTTGTCTCCCCTCTGACAGCTGTCAGTCTGTTCTCTATCTATGAGTCTGTTAATGCCAATATCTTATTTAAAAACTAAACAAACTTCTTTAAAAGCAGGAATGCAAGGATGCTTCTTTAATATGACAAGAATGCCTACCTGGAACCTATACCAAATATTATAAATAACAAAATTGTAGAGGCTTTCCCAATAAAATCAGGAATGAAACATAAATGTTTGTGGAATATCTCTGGATGTTTGGTCAATTCACTGAGACACAGAACAAAACATAAGCATTGGAAAAGAAGAGATAGAATAATATCTTATTTTACCAGCTCTGACCTCCGAAAGCAACAAAGTTTCAATTATAGAATCTAAACAAACCCCAGAAATCTGCTTTCAGCAGGCGATGGCCTCAGAGCTGGAGCGAGCAGGAGCCTGACTCTCAGCTCCAGTGATGGCAACAAAGTTTCAATTATAGAAAGTAAATAAATTCCAGAATTAAAAAAGAAAAAAAGGATAGCTTGGGAGCTTCAATCACCAACCAGCCTGAAAACGGCCCTCAGCCCCTCACCCAGAGTGGCCAGGCACCCCAGTGAGGACCCCCACCCTAAAGGGGGTGTGGCCAACCTGAAAACAGCCATCAGCCCCTCATCCAGGTTGGCCAGGCACCCCAGTGAGGACCCCCACCCTAAAGGGGGTGTGGCCAACCTTAAAACAGCCATCAGCCCCTCATCCAGGTTGGCCAGGCACCCCAGTAGGGACCCCCACCCTGAAGGGGGTGTGACCAGCTGCAAACAGCCATCAGTCCCTCACCCAGGCTGGCCAAGCACCCCAGCGGGACCCCCAACCTGATTCAGGACACCCTTCAGGGCAAACCAGCCGGCCCCTACCTGTACACTAGGCCTCTATCTTATATAGTAAAAGGGTAATATGCAAACTGACCCTAACAGCAGAAAGACTGGGAATGACTGGTCACTATGACACACACTGACCACCAGGGGGCAGACGCTCAATGCAGGAGCTGCCCTCTGGTGGTCAGTGCACTCCCACATGGGAAAGCTCTGCTCAGCCACAAGCCAGGCTGATGAATGCCAGTACAGTGGTGGTGGTGGGAGCCTCTCCTGCCTCCTCAGCAGCGCTAAGGATATCCAACTGCAGCTTAGGTGTGCTCCCCGCTGGCAAGTGGACATCCCCCGAGGGCTGCCAGGCTGCCAGAGGGATGTCTGATTGCCATCTTAGGCCCCATCCACCAGGGAGCAGGCCTAAGCCAGCAGGTGGTCATCCCCCGAGGGGTCCCAGACTGCGAGAGGGCACAGGCTGGGCTGAGGGACCCCCCCGAGTGCACAAATTTTTGTGCACCGGGCCTCTAGTATTAATAATACTGCTGATAAAAATAATGCATATTAATAATAATACTACTAATAATAATCTTACTATCTGGACTCCTCATTTTCTTCGTACATAATAAAATTGTAGAAGTAGAATAACAGACTAAAGGGCTTGAAGCAATCCCTTGCTTAAAGTAGTTTTCTGCTACAATGCAAATATCCCTGGGATGGTCATTGTGCTTTAGGCATCTGCAATGCATTAACTACTGGCACCTTGTGATACTCTCTTGTAGCAAAATTTTGGTTCTGATAAAGTGGTGGGGCTCAGGATGAGTTATCCTCCTCCTATCTAATAAAAGAGAAACATGGTAATTAGCGTATGACCACTACCCTTCCCATTGGCTAATCAGGGCGATATGCAAATTAACTGCCAGCCAAGATGGTGGCCGGCAGCCACGCAGCTGGAAGCGAACATGAGGCTTGCTTTCTTCAGTGACGGAGGACTCCAACGTTCCCCGCCTGCTGCTGCCGGCCTCTGAGCTGCAACTCTAAGCAACTATCTTACAAATATAGAAGCTAAACAAAACCCCAGAAACCTGCTTCAGTCGCCAGGCTTCAGCCAGCAGGATCGCAACATTGTTTCAAATACAGAAGGTAAACAAAGGCCAGAAACCTGCTTTCAGCAGTGGAGGCCTAAGAGCTGGAGCCAAGCCTCAAAGCTAAAGCTGGCCCAGAATAAAAAAAAAGAAAAAAAGGAGCGGTTGGGAACTTCAGTCACCCGCCAGCCTGAAAACAGCCCTCAGCCCCTCACCCAGACTGGCCAGGCACCCCAGTGGGGACTCCCACCCTGAAGGGTGTGTGACCAGCTGCAAACAGCCATCATCCCCTCACCCAGGCTGGCCAGGCACCCCAGTGGGGACCCCCACCCTGAACCAGGACACTCTTCAGGGCAAACCAGCGGGCACCCACCTGTGCACCAGGCCTCTACCCTATATAGTAAAAGGGTAATATGCCTCCCAGCACCGGGATCAGCGGAACAGAGAGGCCTCCCGGCACTGGGATCAGTGTGACAGGGGGCAGTGCCCAAACCCCCTGATTGCCCTGCGGCTCTGTGTGTGACAGGGGGCAGGGCCACAACCTCCCTATCCGTCCTGCTCTGTTCGTGACAGGGGAAGGCGCCCCAACCCCCTGATCAGCCCTGCTCTGTGCCTGATAGGGGGGAGCTCCCCAACCCCCTGACTGCCCTGTGGCTCTGTGTGTGACAGGGTGTGGCGCCCCAACCCCCCCTCCCCCACAGGCCCTGCTCTGTGTGTGATGGGGTAGAGCCATAACCTCCCCATCGGCCCTGCCCTGAGTGTGACAGTGGCGGTGCCCAAACCCCCTGATCTGCCCTGCTCTGTGTGTGTGACAGGGGGCAGTGCCCCAACTCCCCTATCGGCCCTACTCTGTGAGTGACAGGGAGAGCTCCCCAACCCCTTGATGGGCCCTGCTCTTTGTGTGACAGGGGGGAGCTCCCCATCCCCCTGATCGACCCTGCTCTGTACGTGACAGGGTACGGAGCCCCAACCCCCTGATTGGCCCTGCTCTGTGCGTGACAGGGGGTGGCGCTGCAACCTGCCCATCGACCCTGTCTTGAGTGTGACAGGGGGCGGTGCCCCAAACCCCCAATCGGCCCTACCCTGAAAGTGACTGAGGGTGGCATCGAAACCTCCCAATCTGCCCTGCTCTGTGCATGACAGGGGGCGGCGCCCCAATTCCCCAATTGGCCCTGTTCTGAGCCCGACCAGGGGCTGCACCTAGGAATTGGGCCTGCCCTCTGCCACCGGGAGCAGGCCTAAGCCAGCAGGTCGTTATCTCTCGAGGGGTCCCAGGTTGTGAGAGGGCACAGGCCGGGCTGAAGGAACCCCCCTCCCCCCAAGTGCACAAATTTTTGTGCACTGGGCCTCTAGTCTATATATATAAAGAGGTAATATGCTAATTTGTCCATGAGGGTGTCCCCATAATGACCAATTTGTATATTGATGCATGCTCAGCAGGGGGTGGGCGGCTGTAGCCAAATTCTCTGGGTTCTGAGGAGAGTGCCTGGCAGGAGCACGAACTGCAAAGAAGGAAAAGGAAGCAGCCATAGGGAGATCTTCCAATCTCCCTGCACCCCCAGGGGGACGGGGAGGCTGACCAGACAGGAGAAGACCCAGCCTCAGGGGTAGTTGCAGCTCCCACCTCCAACTCCTGATCTCTTCCCCTGTCACCCCCGCCAGGGACACCCACAATAGCATGATGGCGACCACCCATCCGTGCCCCCAGGGCCCGTGGCCCATCACTGCTGGGCCCCCTCCACTGGGGCTGGGTATGCCTCTCCTCCCTACAACTCCAGACCCAAGTGGAGGCAGGCCTGAGCAACCCCCCCAGGGTCCGACCCTTCCCCCCCACTCCACAACAGCAGCGCCTTCTTTGCAGAGGAAGTACCCTGAACCACCCTCCTAGCCCACCTGGCTCCACCCTAGCCCAGCCCCGACACTGCTCCAGGAGATTGAAGCCCCACTCTGAGCAGGTACAGCTGCAAAACAGTCATGTACAATTTAAAGAATGGCTCCAAGTGGGAAGGTTTGACAGTTACTCCCTGTTCAGCCTCACTGCCCCCCTAGTGCCCACCTAATGCTCTGCCCCCCGCCCCCACCAGCGCCTCCAGGGATGACCACCACTACAGGACTGCTGGCCAGAGCCTGCCCCTCCAAGGCCTGTAGAACCATCTGCAAAGCTTCCATAGCTACAGTACCAGGAAAAAATCATGCCCTCCTCCCCTAATCAGCACCTGCTACCTTCGAGGGTACCCGTGGGCTTAAAAATAACAATCTCTTCCTGTTTAGACATCATTTACTTGATGAAACATTTCTAGGTTTATTAGCTTAGAACCTCCTCATGAAAACCCAGTGAGGTAGGTGGAGAAGAGATTACAATTCCCATGGGATATGCATATGTATTCAGAAATGAAGCTCAGAGAGGAAGTGTCAAGCCCAGTGGTTCCCAAGGTGCACCACACGTCCCAAGGGGAGAGGGGATTGGGGGAGGAAATCTGATTTTAGATGGGGGCAATTTGAGAATGAGTTAACAGTGATTTTTTTGCATTTCATGTGGTTCTAGGGGGCCTCATCTACAGTGTATCCTACATAACAAAAGGATAATATGTAAATGACTGAATGGTGGAATGACCGGTCACTATGGTGGTCAGAGCACTCCCACAGGGGGAGCATCGCTCAGCCAGAAGCCAGGCTCATGTCTGGCAAGCACAGTGGCATTGGTGGGAGCCTCTCCACTAAAGCTAAAGATGTCCGAATGACGGCTTAGGCCCACTAAGCCATCAGTCGGACATCCCTCCAGAGCTCCTGTACTGCAAGACGGCACAGGCCAGGCTGAGGTACCCACCTTCCCAAGAATTTCATGCACTGGGCCTCTAGTTAAAAATAAAGAAAGGGATGGGGAGGGAAGGGGAGAAAATAAGCAAAAGCAAGTTGGAAGTTAAGGAGTGTCCTGCGCAGAGCTCAGGAGCACCGAGAAGGACCTTAAGCAGGTGGGAAGAAAGGGAGACAGGAAAGTGTGAAGACATGAACAGACAAACTTGACAGGGCATCATTTTATCTCAAGCCCCAGTTATATCTGTAAATGCTTATTGCCAAATGTACAGATATTGTGACCAGGTAGGTAAGGCAGCTTGACTAGTGACATGGAGAATGTGGCTGTGAATTCATGCATGTCATCTAAAATATTAGTGACCAAGTCTTCCTATGTAGCTGAGTATTTCCACACCTGTAAATACTGGACACCAAATGCTAAAACTTTATAATCATTTTTGGCCTACTTACACCACTGAAAAGGACCTTGCAGTCTTGGGTTAAGAATTTAAAATTCTCCTTGGAACAATTAGTCTGCTTAATTAAGTAAGTAACTTCATAGTTCCATCCAGACACCACCTGAAACAATATTGAATAGTTAAAGGGCAGTTTAAACATTATTCACTGTGTTATGAGGAACTTAAAATACTGCCTGGCATAATGCAAGTACTCAAAAATATAAACTCTTAGTACTAGGCAAAAGTCATGACTGAATAAATATTGAGGACTTTATGACTCTCATACTCCTCAACACACAAACACACACACACACGCACACACACAAACACACACACACACACACTCCTACACATCCTATCTAATAAAGAGGGAATACGCATATTGACCATCACGCTGTCATAAAGATGGAGGTACCCATAGCCACAAGATGGCAACGCTGAGTCCCCTCAAAGTCCCCCAGTCCTTTCAGCCCTGCCGGGGCGGGTGGCAGGCATGTGGTACACCAGACCAGTCCTCAGTGGGCCCAGCCGCTCCTTGCACTGGACTCAGTCCTTTCAGCCCAGCTGGTGGGGGCAGGGGGAGGGATGCGGCAGGTGCATGGTGTGGCTGGACCTGCCCTCAGGCCCACAGTCACTCAGGGCTGGCCCGAGGTGCAGGCAAGCCTCGGATGGTGGCTGCCAAGCCATCCAGCTGCACAGGGCCACCCGAGGTTCAGGTAACCAGGGCTGGCCAATGGGGGTAACACCGATGTGGGTGTCACCTTCCCCCAATGACCAGGTCGCCTCCCGCCCCTAAGGGCTCCCAGACTGTGAGAGGGGGCAGGCCAGGCTGAGGGACACCCCATCCAGTGAATGAATTTTCATGCACCTGGCATCTAGTCTGAAAATAAAAAGCAATATATAGGTGGAGTTACTGTATTTTCTTAAGAAAAACCTAGCAATATTTCCTCGTCCAGGCAACAGAAAAATAATGTCCTTTTGAATTTTGTGAAATAAAAACAATACTCTTCTAGATGGTTAAAAACACTTTGGAGCTAGAATGGCCTTTACTGGTAAGTTCTCAGGTTCCCAGACAGTCAGGCAGTAAGCTTTGTGCTGTTCTATCTTGGGCTAGTCCCACCCCGATCGCTGGCTATGAACGTAATGGAGTAGAACATGCATCTTGCATGAAGGGAAGTTGTATGGTCTATTAAAAGCAGGGAATGTTACTGACTAAAGTAAGTCCCTCATAATTAGACAATGAAATACAAGGAACCCAGTCAACTGTCAGTAAAGACTTAGTGAACTGGGTCAATGAAAAGGCCAGAATTTCCAAGTGTTTACATTCTTTTGATGATATAAAAACTATAATTTAGAGAGTGCTCAGAAAGCCGGGCCAACTGTTTGGGTTCCATTGCATATTTTGGAGCCATGCCTGACTCATGCTGGTTAAGTGATAATGTAATTTTCTTAAAACCTTAAGGCTAGAATGATCTTTTCATCTCACCACCTCTAAGAAAAACATGTATTTCTGACTAACCATTCATTAAACTCAGAGCCAGGGGTCTGATTAGCCACACTTTTGCCTTTTATATATTGTAGTATACTAATCACTTTGTCTCAAGAGAAAGCACTTTACCTCCTATGCCAGTCAGATGAGGACATAGAAGAGCTCCCTCACCACCAGTCACGGAATCATAGGTTTTCTATTGACCAATGGTTTATTTTAGGTTATGAAACCCTAAACATAAAGATCCAACAAATTTTAACAATACTGTGAGAAAAGGAAACTAAAGCACAAACCTCTCTCTGTGCCCTTTTTACTTCTTTAAGAGCAAAGAGGTGGGAATGATTAGTGTGGTTGTTAAAATGTTCAATGCCATGTTTCAGAACAGGGTCGAAGTCCGGGGGGACAGTCTTCAGGGTGTGCAGGCAGCCATAGCAGTCATACTGGGAGGTCACCACAGGGCCCTCGGCTTGACAAAGAAAGAGTAGGCAAAAGGGCAGCGTTAATGAGCAAAACCTGCGTTCAGATACATTGTCCTAAATAAGTAAGATAATTTCAAAGACCTTGGTAAACAAACTTTCTAGTACATTCTGGTATGTATTAGAAAAAGAGAACACAGGACTGCTTTTTGGTCAGAAGAGAAAAAAAGTCTACCATTGACTTAGGAACATCTTATGTGCATACTATTGTGCATAATTATTTCAAATTTCCTTAGAAATCATTATCAATTACAGACATAATACATTAATTTATCCTCTTATAAAATAGTAAAACAGTACAGATATAGTATTATTTATTTTTCAGTGTTAAATAAAGCTCCTTGAAGCCTCATTGAGGGTGTAATATGTTTTGTACCAATTAATTTCAATAAACATGTACATATTTTGCTCCTTCTGTAATATGTCAGGTGCTGAATTAGACTGTGTGGTTACATTAACTTGTAACTGTGGTGTGTTGGAGAGCACAAGAGACTTGGTTGGAAAGTTGTAAGGAGGACATTCTGATAAAAGGAAAGTGTCTGGAAGGCCAATTGCTCTCTTGGTTGAAATTCTGACTTAGGAGAGACATAGGGGAGTGTTGAAGTCGGCTCCCCTAATTATTCCTGACCTTTCCAAACAAGTCTGATTACATATAGACCCCAGGTGTTTACTGGAATCCTTATCCTTAATCCCTGGATGCCCTTGCCTAGAGAAGAATATAAACACATGTGTCCTCCCAAGATTACTCACCCCACTGATTGTATCTAAAGATAAAACCTGCTAGAAAAAAGCTAACAAGGCAGGCAATTGAGGCTACTCTGGCTGCTAGAGCCAGGATCCCCTTAGCACTCTCTTTCACAATCAAACTGTGTCTGAGTAATCTGTTCATCCATCGTTCAGGGGCTGCTGGTCAGTACTGGCAGTGGTGAAGGTGTTGGGCAAAGTGGAGTGGGAGAGACAGAACTGCAGATGGATATTTCAAAAATAATTTGGCAAGAGCTTGGGAAGGCAGGAGCCCAGAGTGAGCTCAAGAAAGACTATCTTGAGGAGAAGAGGCCTGAGCTAAGAAGGGTGTAAAGTGGTCAAGGTCAACAGGGCAACATAAAGTGTGAGCCTGATAAGGAGGAACAAAGGGAGGAATGGCTCTCAAGAAAGCAGGATGAGTCAGGGGCAGCGTGTGGGATGCGGTGTATAATTTTTACGGGCGCTTAAAGCAGGAGGCAGGGACTGGCGATTGAGGTCTGGACAATTAATAGAGAGTCCTCTGCTGTGAAGCCCGGGCCACGCTCTGGAGTCCAAGGGTTATGAACTGTATTCCAAGGGTCATGGGCTGCTTGGTGAACCTGATGTAAACATGGTGGCCTCCGCGGGAAAATGCTGGTACTCACAATGTTCTCCATATAATTTCAGGGTGTGCATAGATCCACTGAAGTCAATTAAGAGTGGTCCGCAGTAAAGATGGGGTGCCACTGACTGGGTTTTAATAAAATAATGTAAACTATTAAAACGGGAGTGATCGCTTCTCGGCCTTTTGGCTAAGATCAAGTGTAAAACGGGAGTGAGCTTGTATTAGGTTACCAATTCATGTTTATAACAGATAGCCTTAACCTGCTGGTCAGTAGAGGCATACGCTGTAGAGAGGAAACCATGAAGGCATCCTGGGCCCCTTTGCCTTGGGCTCTCACTGTCTGAGTGTGTAGGAGCCAAGCAGAATCAGGAGGCCAACAGTGTTCTACAACAGTGTCCCTCAGTTGCGAGTAGGTCAACACACTCCCATTGCAGCTGTTTCTTGACACTCACTCCATGAGCATGTGTGTCAGAAAAAAGATTTACTGGGTGAATATTCATAGCTTTCTTCACTGCTCTCCCCTTGCAGAAAGTATGTTGCATCAGGGCAGTGGACAAAGTTAAGAAACTGGAGGGGACTTACAGGGGAAAGGAGAGAGAATTACTGAGGGGAGAAGAAAAGATTGATGAACACAGAAGGGGGAAGGGGAAGGGAGTAGAGATCAGAGGCTGGTTTGCAGACCTCAAGGGCAGCTCTGACTGGGGTAAGAGGAGAGATGGTGCAGTCTTTTGAGGGTGAAAGATGCAAATTAATTTTTTCCAGGCAATGGAATGAGTTTTCATCCTGCTCCAACATTTCTAGGGAGATTTTTTAAAAAAATTTAAAAGATTTTAAATTTTGAATTCTGAAACATATTAAGCCAAAAAGGTTTCAGATAAGGGATTACCTTGTGGACCTAGTAGTAATTGTGGATCTACAAGGTGTAGCAAAGAGCCTTTCCTCTCATAGTATATAAGTGCTGGGTTCTGATCATGTGAAAATTTGTTTATGAGTTAAAGTTCTTAAACAAAATAATTAAAAGCTACTCCAAAATTTTTTTAAACCAATTGTGATTTCTGCTTTGAACTGTTTTTCTTTGCATGCCACTTCTTGCAGGATCTAAACCCAAGAAACAGTTTTTGTGGGTTCTTTATGGATGACTAAGGCCACAACAGAACAATGGCTCCTCCACTGATGTTCACCAGTGTGGCTGAGGATGCTGTTCTGGAGCCTCATCTACTAAAACCCTATCTTGCAAACGGCCAATTTTGGGTTGGCTTTTGCGATTGACATTCCCTAGATATGTCCATTCTTCTGCACCCAGCCACTCTGCCACCAGAGGGAAGGCGCTAATAGTGGTTATATCTGCATAAGTTGCTCTATTCTTACAAGGTCTACTATACCAACTCTGCTAATTGCTAGCTATGGGATACTGGGCAATATACTTAACTGTGGTGGGACTTGGTTTCCTCATTTGTAAAATGAGAATATTAACACATGCCTTATAGAATTGTTGTGAGGATTAAGTAAATCATCATATGTAAAACAATTAGCACCGTGGCTACCAATAAGTGCTCAATAAATGTCAGCTATGATTACTTTTATTCTGATGATCATCAATTCATTATTATGCTTTAACTTCAAGCCTGCTATCTAGTTTCAGTCTACAATAACCCTCTGAAGTGAGAATTCCTCTGATTCCCTTTTAAGGAAAAGGGAAACCAAAAAGGTGAAGATCTTTTGAAAGATTGCAGACCAGATCTGACCTCAAAGTCTGTACTTTTCTGGCTCTACTGAACCCCCAAAATTGAAGCATGTGGCATGTTTTCTAGTCCTTTCCCAGGGCCTTTGCACGCACCTAATTCAGTGCCACTGTCCATAGAGAGGCCAGGGGATGATTGGCAGGAGCCTGGCCCCACCTCAGGACTCTGCCACCACAGCCACCCCCCGCAACCCCCCCACCAACAAGGCTGCAAATGGCATTGCATAGCCATCCACTGCCCTCTGGGAAAGGGCTTTGTCCAGGTTATGCTCCTGGCCCCACATGGAAATGGTTCCTTTCCCCCCAGGGCAGCGCCACCCTATATATCAGCTACCTGGAATAATGTTGCAGGTCTGGGTAGTCACGGAGAATTCCATATTCCGTCTCTTCCCTATAGTCGCCATGCATTCTCCTGTGGCCTAGAAAGAAGAAAGAAAGAAAGAAAGAAAGAAGAAGAAAGAAAGAAAGAAAGAAAGAAAGAAAGAAGGAAGGAAGGAAGGAAGGAAGGAAGGAAGGAAGGAAGGAAGGAAGGAAGGAAGGAAGGAGGGGAGAAAGAAAGAAAAAGGAGACCATTTAATCTTTCAGAAGGAGAAGTGCACCTAGTGCTGTTGCTACTAGTAAGTATGGTTTTTCTCTTATTTAAAACTTAATATTTTTTTCTAACAGAGTGTTGAGATACAAGAATGAATGTTTTGTAGCCTAATCATTATTATTTACAAGTCATTGATATTCATGAGGTGTCCAGAGGAGAGGCAGTATAGATAGTGAGGTTTTAAAATAATGTTATGTTTGGAGCACTTTTTCACTAAGGTGAACACAGTGCCCTAAAACTAGCCTGCCAAACTCTCCTCTTACAGTTCAACTTCAGGGTTCAAGTGCACAGAGGATGTGGTACTTTTGATACCATTGTAATAATCAGGTATTAACTGAAAAGGAGCAAAGGGAAAGCCAAATAGACACATGCCCAGTAAAGTGTGGGTGACCTAGGGAAGGTACTTTCTGTCAATCACCCCTGGGAACACAGATGGTGTAGCACATGTAAGCACAGGAAGATTTCAGATATTAAACTCCTAAACAAAGAGTTCTCTTTCCTGCCTCTCTTGAACACTGAGGCTCCCGGCTCTCTTGTTGCAGTGGACACACTCCCCTGCATGCACTCGCATGGCCCAAAGCCATATGTCTCCCCCACACCCTCGCCCCCTGCCCACACACAATGGGCTAATGGACAAGAATTTTCTTGATGCAGTGCCAGACCCAGCTCCACCATGAAATGGAAACTTGGGACATTGATTTGGCTTTTGGCTGTGCTGAATCCCCGGCTGCTCCACTTTTAGGACTGGTTTAAGGGAAATGGGACTTTAGAAATGCAGATATGGAATGCCACACAAATAAAGTGTGAGTCTTAGAAAAATATTTTTCTCAAGATGTCGTGAGGACTGTACCCCCAACATCCAGTGGGGAAAGGGATCCCCCACTTCCCACCAGTGGACACCCCATTTCCACCAATAACATTTGACACATTAAAGAGGTGAGTCCATGGACTGTGGAAAGTGTGGCTTCCTTCCCGGCAGACACTGGCTGTTAACTCCCCAGGTAAGGCCAAACAACCAGCTGTGGTGTGGCAAACAGATGGTAGGCATTTGGTTAATATTCCTTATTGTTAAAACAAGGTCTTTTCATATGTATATTCTTTTCTTCCAAGTTAGGTCAATTTTACTTCCTTTTTACAAGGGAGCCCCTGGGTTAAAAGTGGTCAGCTAATTAGAGGCCGAGTAGAATTCCAACTCAGGTCTGCAGAAATAAAGCACCCAATTGGTCATAGGAGTCCCCTCTTCATGGGAGGGATTTCTCCAATCTCATGGCTAGCCTCTCATGCCCTTTCTGTCTGTGCAAGAACATAGACATCAACCATTTGCCTTTTGTACACATTTGAGGGTTTATGTGCACCCCTCACAAACAGGCTCCACAGTACTCATCACCCCCAGCACTAACAGAATCATTTCGCAGTCTCAATTGAGAAAACTGGAGGCTCTGGACCATCACACTTACAGCTTGCTCAGCTTCTTTGTAGTTACAGTCCTGCCAGGTTTTGCCACTTTGAGCAGGACAGTCGCCCTCCTTGATTTCATATTTGACAGAATAAAATATCTCCTGGTCTCCCTGGAAAAAAGAAAACAAAGATACATAGGGCTCATTCAACTGACAACAGCAGACCATTGGAGAGGGATCTGGTGCAGTTATGCATATTTGATATTGATTTAATTCAACAAGAGCAAAACATTTACTAACACTACTGAAAGTTATAAATACTTGGAAGCATGTTCATAATATATTTATAAACATGTATTTTCAAGAAACAAAGTAGTATATGTAGTATTAGCCTGTTTTTGTAGAAACCAATTTCATGCACATATATAATTTTAAAAACCTGAAAAGTTATGCAGCAAAACTGTTAACATGTTGCATCTCAGTGATGGGTGTATGGTTATCTTTTACTCTCTTCTTTAAACAAACATTCCTAAATTGTCTGAGGATTTTTTGAAAACAAATATATATTACTTTTGCAATTAGAAAACAAATCAACAAACAAGAGTACTTTCTTCTTTCATTTTTTGAAAAAAATGTTAACAGGTATGTCTGGGTGATGAGATTAGTTATGGGTAATTTTAGTATTTTTATTTGGTTTCTTTTGTTTTCTATTTTTTTAACATGTCATAAAATAATAAATAAAAACTTTTAAGGCTCAAGGTTCTGAGTTAGATGAGCTTTTGAATGCAAAATCCTGGCACGTTGGAGCAGGAAGAGACCTGAGAGGTGTTGTTGCCCAGCCCCTCACTTTGCAGGTGAGAGAAAGGAGCCCCAAGTAGAGAGGGCAGAGCTCAGGCAGCCTCCCACCTTGGAAAGGCAAGGCCAACCCAGACCCGGGTCTCCTGAGTCTAGGGGCAGTGCTCTCTCAGAGCCTGCACTTGTCAGAGTATTTGCATCTTGGAGATGATGGAGTCAAACACGATAGTTCCGACGTTCGTTTCGGGTCTCAGATTTAGATAAAGCAGTAGGTGATAGTGACTCTGTGGACATTTTAGGGAAAACAAAGTACCCAACAACAACACATTTGCTACAGATGTCCGCCAATCACAACACCCATAAAACACTGCCAAGGGCACCAGGCTCGCTTGACTACACTAGTTTAAGAAAAAAAATAAAAATAAAAAGCCCACTGGGCTTTTTTTCTTTAATCGCATCATGTCAAATGGATGGATTTTTTTCTTCCACCGAAGTAAACTATCACAGAGACATAGTGAAGTCCATTTGAACAAACTATTGAAAGCTTGTATTTTTTTAACTTTCCTTTAAAAAAAAAAAATTTGTTTTCTTTTGCATGACAAAAGACTTCTAGTTTAAAAACAGGGTACATCAAAAACAAAAATATCCTCCCTGTGTCCCATCTTTATTTTCACCAATGCAAGAAATCCTTCTGGTATATCAGCACCTGATTAAATATGTATCAAACCACTGAACTTACTTGTTAATACATATTCTGTTATGGCAGAATAACCAAGAATTTCCC